CAGCCCAGCAGATGCCAATAGGTCCCAGTATAGCCCAGTATAGAGCAGCACATCCCAGCACAACCCAGTACAGCCCTGCATGGCCCACTGCTGCCCAGTACAGCCCAGCAGGGGCCAATAGGTCCCAGTATAGCCCAGTATAGAGTAGCACATCCCAGCTCAGCCCAGTATAGCCCTGTATAGCCTGTTGCTGCCCAGCACAGCCCAGCAGGGGCCAATAGGTCCCAGTATAGCCCAGCACATCCCAGCACAGCCCAGTATCACCCAGTACAGCCCTGTATGGCCCACTGCTGCCCAGTACAGCCCAGCAGGGGCCAAAAGGTCCCAGTATAGCCCAGTATAGAGCAGCACATCCCAGCTCAGCCCAGTATCACCCAGTATAGCCCTGTATAGCCTGTTGCTGCCCAGTACAACCCAGCAGGAGCCAATAGGTCCCAGTATAGCCCAGTATAGAGCAGCACATCCCAGCATCACCCAGTATAGCCCTGTATGGCCCACTGCTGCCCAGCACAGCCCAGCAGGGGCCAATAGGTCCCAGTATATCCCAGCACAGCCCAGTACCACCCAGTACTGCCCAGTAAGGCCCAACACAGCCCAGTATAAAGCATCACAGCCCATCGTTGCCCAGTAGGCTCTGGTACCACCCAGTATAACCCAGTACTGCCCAGTATAGTCCAGCACACCACAACACAGCCCAGCACCACCCAATAAGGCCCAACACGGCCCAGTATCACCCAGTACCACCCCAATACGGCCCGGTACGACCCGGTACCACCCAGCCCGACCCATCCATCCCCCCGCTGCCCCCATCCATCCCCGCATCCCGAGGTTCCCTCCCCCTCCCCGAGGTACCTGGTTGAGGGCTCAGCCCACGGCCACTCCCATCGCGGCTCCGGGCGTTCGGGGCCCGTTCAGGCCTCGCCCCGGCGACGACCCATAGACGGAGGCGGCCCCGGTCCGGCGGGGCGGGGAATAACGGCTGGTGGCTGTGCGGGCGGAGCGGGATGGGCCCGCCGTGCCCGGAGCCGGCCCAGGGCCGCCGCTCGGAGCCGCAGCGCCGCCGGGGCGGGGCGGGGCGGGGCGGAGCGGAACGGGGCGGGGCGGGGCGGGGCCGCTTTCCCGCACCGGGGGTCCCGCACGGTGCGCGGGGCCGCGTGGACGGCAGCACCGCGCGACGGCTCCGCGGCGGCCGAGGCTCCGCCCCCTGCGAGACCACGCCCACTTCAAGCCCCGCCCACTACCCCTTATAGTCCACGCCCCTCCGTTAGGCCACGCCCCGCAGCGCTCAGCGTGACCGCGGATGGGGGCGGAGCTTGCGCAAAGGGGCGTGGCCGCGCTTACCGCCCCGCCCCTCCGCCCGGCTCCATCCCATTGGCAGCACCGCCGTCCAATGAGAAATCGGGGCGGGGCGGAGGGGGCGGGCAAACCTCTGGCGGATGTCGCCTCCCAGCCGTAGCGCGTTTTCATTGGCCGCAGCCGCGAGGGCAGCGGAAGAGGCGGGGCGAGGCGGGAGGCGCATGCGCGGTGGCGCGGTGACGCACCGTGCGTGCCGTGCGCGTTGACGTTGCGCGGCGGCGACGGCGCCTGTGAGCGCAGCTGCGGTGGCGGCGGTGAGTGCGGAGCCGGGCCCGGGCTTCGGCTTCTCCGCCCTTCCGGATCCTCGGGCCGGGCTGCGGCCTTTCTTCGCGGTCTACGCTTCCTTACCGCTCCGGTTGCGGCCTATCCCGGATCGGGCCTCGCGTGATCGCTCCCCGGTGCCGCCTCCGCCCTCGGGCTGGGCCCCGCCGCCCCGGAGCTGCCCCGCTCCCCGCGTATCTCCGCTCCCATCTCCCCAAAGCGTTCGACCGTCGGTGGTGCCGGGCCTTGAGCTGCTCCCGTTCCTTTTCCCGTTGCCATTCTCAGCCCCTTTTCTCCCTAGGCGTCTCCGAGGTTCTCTCTGCGCACCGACGGGACCCGACCGCAGCCCTCGGGGCCTCCAACCCACCCCATGCCCGCGCCGGCCCCGGTGGCCACCGAGAGCGACTTCAGGCCCCTTCGCGGCCCCCGCGCTGCCGCCATGTGAGGGGGGGGGCACGGCCGGGCCCGTGTTTTCCCCCCCCTTCCCCCTCCCCCGTCGTTGCCCCCCTTACTCGCCATGATGTTCCGGGACCAGGTGGGGATCGTGGCCGGTTGGTTTAAAGGTTGGAACGAATGTGAGCAAACCGTGGCGTTGCTTTCGCTGCTGAAGCGTGTCACCCGCACCCAGGCGCGCTTCCTGCAGCTCTGCCTCGAGCATTCCTTGGCCGACTGTGCTGACATCCACCTCCTCGAGGCTGAGGCCAATAGCGCCGGTGAGTGGGAGCTTCCTCCCCCAGCTCTGAGTTGCTCCTTTTTGGCCCTGGTGACTCTCGGTGCGAAGCTCGGGATGCCCTTTGCTGTGGGTCTGGGTGGCCAAATGGGCTCTCGGTGCAATTAGTGGGTGGTGAGCTCCCGTTCTGCAAGGTGTGAGGTGAGGGGTCCCTCTCTTTCTCCAGGATTCCACACCTCTTGCTGCTCCCCGGGGGGTGGTTGAGGTGCTGTCGTTATCCTTGGAAGGTTTTGCCCCCTCGCTGTCGTCACGCTGGGGAACATCCCCCTCTTTCTCCCCCCTAACCTACTGCTCCTTCACCTTCCCCAGCTGCCATCAGTCAGTGGCCACAGGAGCCAGCAGAGGCAGCAGTGGCCCTGCTGCTGGCCCACCTACCCCTGTTGCAGCCGGGCAATGCGGCTGCCAAGGCTGAATACATGAAACGGCTGCAGAAAGTGCTGGCTTACGCCATCGAGAGCAACCGATGCGTGGAGGAGAGCCGACAGCTCCTTTCCTATGCCCTCATCCACCCTGCCACCACCCTGGATGACCGCAGTGCACTGGCCCTGTGGTTGGGCCACTTGGAGGAACGTTTGGCCGGAACCCCGCAGCCACCACGTCCCCCTCCTCGCCCTGATGCTGCACCCCCCCCACCCCGCCGTGCCCCCCACGACTGGCCTGAGCACGGACCCCCTGAGATTGGGCCTCCCTGGCCTGAAGCAGCTCCTCGGGAAAATGGCCACCCCCCTTTTCACCCCTCCAGCAGTGGCAATGGCCTGGGGGGCACAGGTGAGTAGGGCTGGGGGGGGGGACAGTGCAAGGGGATGTGGGAAAGAATAACTGAGCTGCAGGGGGGGTGGGGGGCAGGGGGAACTGGAAGGGGTTCTGAAGAGGCAAGGTGGGGTGACTGGAGAGGGTAAAAGGGTTGTGGGGGGCCTGAGAGTTTAAGGTGGGTGGGGGGAGGGGGGGGAGAATCTGGGATGGGGGGAACGCAAATGGGGGAGGAGGTGATGGAAATAAATCTGGGAGGATGCGGGAGGTAAAAAGGACAATGGGGACCAGAAAAGGGACTAAAGGAAATACGGGGGTGGAATAAGGGGACTGGAGGAGGGGGTGGGGGGAGGAGGGGGTGGGACCTGGACCCAACAGCCGCCTCTCCGCAGCGCTGCCCTGCCAGCTGCACCCCAGCCCACTGAAGCGTTCCCTGTCGCTGGTGCCTGGCAGCCCCCAGGGGGGCAGCAGTGAATGGCCAGGGGGGGGCGAGGAGCCAGGGCCCCCTCGCACCCCCTTCGGCGACCACGCGCCCCTCTCACCCCAGAGCAGCGTGGCCTCCTCGGGCAGTGAGCAGACCGAGGAGCCCACCGGTGGCCGTAACACCTTTCAGGAGGATGGCAGCGGCATGAAAGGTTGAAGGGGGTTTTCTTGGGGGGTGGGAGGGGGAGGGAAATGCGGAGATGAGGTGGTGTTGCCACCTCACCGCTCCAAATCGTGCTTTTTCCCCCCCCCCTTAGATGTCCCCTCTTGGCTGAAGAGTCTGAGGCTCCACAAGTACGCAGCCCTCTTCTCCCAGATGACGTATGAGGAGATGATGACGCTGACAGAACATCACCTGGAGTCACAGGTGAGCCATGCTGCCCTGTGAGCCATGCTGCCCTGCGTCCTCTTCTCCCCCCCACCCCTTTTCATCCAATCTCCATCCCCCCAAGCTTAGGACGTGCCTCACGTTCCCTTCTGGTCCTTCCTTGTCACTGCAGAACGTCACCAAGGGCGCACGGCACAAGATTGCCCTCAGCATCCAGAAGCTGCGGGAGCGGCAGAGTGTTCTCAAAGCACTGGAGAAGGTGAGCGGGGGGGGTGGCTTTGTGCCCCCTGTTTACCCCCCCCTCCCAGTGGTGGCTTCTGTTTGCTCTAGGTTTTCCTCACCCTCTGTGTCGTGGCATTGGTCTCACCCACATTCACGTAGCTGGGGGGGGGGGCAGGGGGGTTGTCCCTGATGATCTCAGATGCTTTTTGTGCCCCTTCAGTGTTTCTAGGGTTATTTGGTTGCCCTGTGCCCCTCCCTATGCTAATTGCTTGCCTCTACATCCCTGCAGGACATCTTGGAAGGTGGGAACCTGTGGACAGCATTGCAGGAGCTGCAGCAGATCATGGTGACGCCCATCAAGGCCTTCAGGCCCCCACCTGCCCCCCCTGCTAATGGAGCACATGATGGGGCTCCCCCAGGGGCTGCCGATGCCTTTGCCCCCCACCCAGCTGCTGACACTGAGGCCCCTGCAGCCCCCGTCCCTGATGGAGACATCCCAGGGCAGTTCACTCGTGTCATGGGCAAAGGTGGGGACCCCAAGTCTGTGAGGTGGGCTGCTGTGGGGGGGAGGGAGCACCGTGCCCTGGCCCCACTGACATGTGTCCCCCCCCCATCCCCCAGTCTGCACCCAGCTGCTGGTGTCACGGCCAGATGAGGAGAACATCACGAGTTACCTCCAGCTCCTTGAGAAGTGCCTGAGCCACGAGGTAGGATTGAGCTTTGGGGTCTGGGGAGGGGCTCAGGACCTTGCATTTCATCCCACCCACCTCATGGCCTCCCCTGCGCCCACAGGCGTTCACAGAGACGCAGAAGAAGAGGCTCTTGTCTTGGAAGCAGCAGGTCCTGAAGCTGCTCCGCGCCTTCCCCAAGAAGGTGCCACTTGATGGCCAGGGCTACCGGCCTCCCAAAGGGTAGGAGGGCTTGTGGGGGGGCCTCAATTCTACATGGACCTCACCCCAACGCCCGCTTTGTTCCCCTCGGTGCCTTATTCACCCACCCTGGGATCTCCGACTCCTGAATTTTCCCTTACTTGTATCCCCCTGGGAGCCTGGAACCCCCCCACCTAAATGTTCCTCTTTGTCCCCTGTGCTCCCTCTGCCCCTGGGTAGAAGTTTTCAAGCTGCTCTTCTGCCTCTTTCTGTCCTGTAGATGCCCCATTTTCCATCTGAAGGGTTTAAAGACCCTTCAGCTGTCTCCCCTGGGTGGAGTCTGGGTTATCCCAGTGCCTTTTCTGGGGGAGCAGGGTGGGGAGGGAGGAACAGGGGGGGTTGGGGGTGCTGTCCTGTTCCCTCTCCCTCACTTTGTTTCTCTCCTGCCCTGCAGCTGGGGCTTTGGCTCCAACTCACTCCCCATAGCTGGCTCTGTGGGAGGGGCGGGGGGGCGGCGGGGGCAGCGCCCCTTTGCGTTGCCCCCCCGTGCGCTGCCCCCCGCCCGCATGGGGTTGTTGGGCCCTGCTGGGGGGGGTCCTACCCCACGACCTCCCCTCGGTGCCACCCCCCTTGGAGCGCAAGGACGCCAGGTGAGTGGTGGTGATGCAGTTGGGGTGGGGAGGGGCTCGTGGTGTGGGAGTCGTGGGGTTGATGGTTTTAAAGCAGGAGCCTGGAAATTAAGAACCTGTTAAGAAGGGCGATGGGGTCCTGGGGAATTGGGGTGGTTTTTTGGGGAGGGTCCTACAATGGGAACCACATCTGGATGTGCAGGGTGTTATTGCCAAGCGAGGGGGTTTCGTGGTTGGGGGAGAGCATTGCTGCTCCCCCCACCCCCCCCAGCGGGCCGCCTTGGTTTTCTCCCCCTCCTCATTTCTGCATCATCCCCTGGATGAGGAGGATGTCACTGCCAGGTGCTGGGGGGGGGTCTTCACATTTGGGGGAGCTCTCCTGTAGATAGGAGGGGGTCAGAGGAGCCTTTGGATGCTGGGATCTTTATGGGGGTGTTTTTTTTTTTTTTTTTTTGCTTCCCCCCCTCCCCTACTACCTTATCTTACCACCTGCTCTCCTCATCCACCAGAGCCTGTGGTTCAGCAGCGGGGGGGCTGGGGGTGCCCCGGGGAGCCGCAGCGTGGTGCAGCGCACCCACTCGCTGCCCGTCCACACCTCACCCCAGGCCCTGCTTGCCTTCCCCCAGGGTAAGTCCAAACTGAACCTTGGGGTCAGGGGAGGGACAGCATCACGTGCCCTCACCCCCCGCCTCCCGTTTTTCCTTCCTTGCTTCCTTCCCCCCCGCCCCGTTTTTCCTTCCTTCCTTCCCCGCCGCCGCCCGTTTTTCCTTCCTTCCTTCTCCCCTGCCTCCCTCTTTTCCTTCCCTCCTTCCCCTCTCCTCTCATTTTTCCTTCCTTCCTTCCTTCCTTCCCC